AATAGAATAGAATAGAATAGAATAGAATAGAATAGAATAGAATAGAAAGGAAGGAGAGAATACTGTTGAAATTTAAAAAGAAACTTCACTCCCTCCCCTTCCCCGCAGCCCACATTTTTCGTCATTTCTTTCTGGTGACTTCGGGAACTCCGTAAATAATCTGGGGATTTTATATAAATAGACCCAGATTAGTTAACAGGAAGATCTACGAAAGAGCACCTAATGGCAGGACGCTTGACCGCTTGACGGGGGGGGGGGGCTTCTCTTGCAAGAAGCTCTTAAAGAAGCACTTTTCCCCACAACAACCCAGTGAGGTGGGTTGTGCTGAATGGTAAAAAAAAGTCCTCACGAATGAAGGCCAATATCCGTGTCGCAGGATAATTTTGAAGGATCCGATCTGGGTCCCTATAGAATAGCCCAAAGCATACATTCTGGTAGAGAGAAGTTCCCTCAGGATGGGTTCCAGCACGAGTCCAAAAGCTCAGAAAACTAAACCTCTGGTCCTAGTGACCAATCAGATTGGATCCTGCACAAAGGTATCCTGGCTGTAATAAAACACTTTAACATTGTTGCTAAGAAAACTGAAGGTTAGCCAGGAGAAATCAAGCTCAATCAGAAAACAATTTTTACCTTTCTAAAAATTGGAACAGTACACTGGAGGAGGATTTCATTGCCCAGTTGCTCATATGCACAAAAGTATACCTTAAAGATCAAGATGGTTAAAAGAATAGAAAGTTTATTTGATCAAAGTAAAAAGAGACACGTTATTATCTCTCAGACTTTTGCTGACATCAGGCCTAACTGAGGAGGCTTTAAGGATTTGTTTATAGATAAGAGGTGAGATATGAGACAAAGAGATCATTTGTATTTTAAGAGAAGGTGATAAGTTACTACAATTGTCTATACTTGTGCTGTCAATTATATATTATTTTCTTTACAATATTCCTTTCTATTTTCTATTTTTCCCTTTTTTGCTTTTTCTATTTTCTTTCTTAGCCAATATTAGTTTCTATCTTTTTTATTGTAACAATTAATAAAATTATTATTTTTAAAAAATAATACCTGTCTTGCTTTCTGCTCAGATCTTTCTACCGATGTGTGGAAAATGGGGGACAGGCACCGTTTCTCAAATAAACCAGATTACTCCGACTACGATCTGCAGACAGATAAATTCCACGCATATTTATTTCATGGAAAGCCTGGTTGAATTCAGTGGGGCCTGTTATGAGATGAGCATGCATAAAAATGCCATCTTAAGTACTTTGTGTCTCTTGCGTTGGAACTGAATGGTTTTAAGATCAAAGGAACTGACGAACCAAACCAGTGAGTTACATCTGCTGTTAGTGTGCTGTAAGCTATGCAGTGGATATAATAAGATGGAGTTTGAGATTTAGAAAATAAAGAAAGGAATGAGATCCAATACCAAGAAACAAATTAGCAAAAGAGAATAGGTAGATAGCTTGATTGGTGAATCTGTCTAGCTTTATTCTAAAGCCGTCTAAGTTGATGGCCATCATGTTTCCTTATGGCAAATTCAACAAGTAAATATGTCATGTAAGGAAGTACTTTTTAAAATGGATTTGATATTTAAAGGTTGCCCCAGGACAATGCATGAAAAATGCATTTCAATGAATACATGTATTGAACCCATACAGATAGTCCTCAACTTACAACCACAAATGAGCCCAAAGTTTCCATTGCTAAGCAAGACTCATTAAGTGAGTTTTGCCCCATTTTATGACTTTACTTGCCACATTTAAGTGAATCACTTAAGTTAGTAACACGGTTGTTAAGCGAATCTGGCTTCCACATTGACTTGGCTTGTCAGAGGGTCGCAAAAGGGGATCACATGACCCTGGGACACTGCAACCATCATAGGTACATGCCAGCGTCTAAATTTTTATCTTTTTTTTATCCATGGGGATGCTGCAACAGTCTTAAATGTGAAAAACAGCCATCAGTCACTTTTTTCATTGCCATTGTAACATCAAATGTCCTTAAATGGTTGTAAGTCAAGGACTACTTGTCTAATGGTAGAAACTGTGGAAATGCAAACTCAAAGTATCAATACATGCAACACCTGGAGAACATTAGATGAGTTCAATCCCAGTGAAGGGATCAGCAGACCAATGCATTAAAATAAAATTGCTCCCAATAAAATCTTAGCCAATCTTTGGTGGTAATCAGGGCGGGTCTCAGGCTGCAACATCAAACCTTCCTCTCCACCCTTTCGTGTTGAAATCACGATCCAGCTTTCAATCAATTTGGATCCAGTACAAGGAATCTGAGGGGGCACCAACTTCTTTGCTTCAAGTAAAAAAATTCCTTCAGTCCATTGAAAATCCCATTGGGTTTATTATGGAGAAACATCCCATCCCTGTCCCGGGATCTAAAGCTATAGAATGGAGTGCAAAAAATCTAAATTGCAGCAAAGGGATAAATAAAACTCTAGCTGTTTGTTGCCAGGTAGCAGTCATTCAGAATTTTGCAGCCCCACTAAAGAACCGAGACAATAGCTTGAAGCATGAGTGAGAGGAAGAAGTATCAGGGCTCGGCAATAAAAGGTAGCAGCCAGGGTCCAAAGTTGATTAGGGATATGAGCAGCTAAAAAGTGAATTGATTAACTTGGAGGAATTAACAGAATAACAGCTAGAAGGGACCTTAGAGGTCTTCTAATCTTGCTCAGGAGAGACCCTATATACCATTTCAGACAAATGGTTGTCTAAACTCTTCTTAAAAGCTTCCAGTGATGAAGAACCCACAACTTCTGAAGGCAAGCTGTTCCACTGGTTGATTGTTCTCACTGTAAGGACATTTTCTTCAGTTCTAGGTTGCTTCTCTCCTGGATTAACTTCCATACGTTACTTCTTGTCTTTCCTTCTGTTCCTTTGGAAAATAGGTTGACTCCCTGTTTTTTATGGCAGCCCCTCAAATGTTGGAACTCTGCTATCATGTCAGCCCTAGTTGTTCTTTTCATTAGACTAGTCCTACCCAATTCCTGTAAGTGTTCTTCATATGTTTTGGCTTCCAGCCCCTAATCATCTTTGTTGCTCTTCTCTGCACTCTTCCCAGAGTCTCTACAACTTTTTTATATCGTGGTGACCAAAATTAGATGCAGCATGAGTTATTAATAGAGAATTGCAGAATCATAGAGGCAATGGCTGACAACGCATATGGTGCTGCTTTGGGGGTGGCAGATCTCTTGAACCTTTAAAAACATGTGCTTCTCTGACTAACTCCACTTCTTTGAGCAATCATGGCTAACCCATAATCATGCAAGCTTAAATGGCATAGGAGTCATAGGTTATCTTTACAAAGAACTGAAACTCAAGCGCTATGATACATATCACCAGTGTGTTTTTCCTGTTTTCATTGTATTGTATTGCACGGTATGGTTTTTATTCTTGGGTTGCTAACCTCTCAGAGTTTGGTTTAAGATGAGCAGCCACATAAATGAAATCAATATAGGCCTACAGAGTTGCCCAATCCTACGGCTGGACTGATTGTTGTACATTTAATGGAGGATGTGCACAAAAAGAAATGGGAAAAGTAGAGGTTGTAGGCCTGCAGCCCAAGGATGTGTGCCTTTTTAAAAACGCAAGATGTAATTCTGGAAATAAAGTTAAAAGCAAGGTGAGGAGGGTTGTGGGGAAGGAAGGCTTGCTTCCCCTTTAGATGGATGCAAAGAGGCCCGATCAAGAGATCTGGTTTACTACAGTCATGCTTCATTATGGGGAACAAGAGAAGGGAGGGGATGCCCAGTCCTCCTGTGACCAGGAGTGGAAAGCTCTTTAGGCCAAATATCTCCACTACCATGAGTTCTCAATACAAATCCAGAGGGAAAATGGCAGAGTGCCAAAATTCCTCATTGATTGACAGCATCTCTCAGAACTCCTATTCTTAAAGATTTCTTTCATCCCACCTTT